AATAACCTGCGACTGCGCTTAAACTCTCTATAGTTAGTAAGCGCACTCTCCTAAGCCAATATCTATATATTAACACGCACTTTTAGCAACAGTCTAACGATTATATACAGTTGCTAACTATCTTCTACTCTAGGCGCGAAGCTATTATAGCTGGACGTGATAGCGACGATGACAGCGACACAGAATAGGCGCTGCTGAAGCAACTAGAGTAGTACAAGAGCAAGGCTAACACGATAAGCTCTAACAGCATGTCACAAACGAATATAAGAGAAGAATATAGGATTATAACCTTAGAGGTTGTTGAACTTATAGAGGACCTTATAAGCTATGTTAAGAAAAAGGACCTACTTAAGAAGATCTAATTAGAAAAGAGCTAATTGCAGCTTCTAAAGAGCTTGCGTTCACTAACGTTAAAGGACTAGCTTGCAGTAGCTAAATATATACAGCTGCGAAATGCGCAAATACCTAAAGTCTTCTATAAGGCTGCAGCTAGAACTATCTAGACGATGATGCTAGCTAAGGTGCGTCAGTACAGCGCTAAGGTTAAGATAGAGAACTTAAGCAACACGCTAATACTAACACTGTCTAAGACAGCGCAGCGACGGTCTTCGTCTGTCATGTCTAATAGGTCTATAGCGTTAATAACTGATAAGTTCGGCGTTGCATTACTTACTGAGCCGGCTATCTTAAATGACGCTAATGTTGCCTTAGTAGACGCTGTGCATTACTCTATTATTAAACAATTCCCTATGTTTAGGCTGATGACGCAACGGAAAGCTAGCAGAAATTAGAGGAGAACTACTTTAAGGTTAGGGCCTAGCACCTTAAGTACGATGCTCTTATCTAGCATTTATTATTGCCTAAGTACTCTAATTAGTACTAAGCAGGCACTTCTTAGGTCATAGATGCGTTGATGATGACGCTTATTAAGGACGACGACGACTTGCTAGGCACTGTTAACTCTTATATTAAGTTAAGGAGGCTTAGAGCAGTGATGCTATTATGCTAGACAACGAAACTGCTAGGCGATTCTAATAAAGGTATAGCACGAACTCTTAAAACTAAAATATATACTACTAACATCTATATGCAGTAACATTCTAACCTGACGAACTACTAGAATAGCTCTTACTACTAGAACAGCCCTCACCACCTAAGAAGAGAGGCTGATATTCTAAACTTATACTAGACGGACCTCCTCTTAAGCGCTGTAAGACTGAGGCAGCAGATAGCAGATATGCAAAAGCAAGCGGGGGGAAGAACTAAGAAAGATAAAGATTTAGAGGACTCTGATACTAGCAGCGACGTCCTGCGCCTATGCAGGAGGGACAGAGCAGCGGCCCGCGCTCGATTAGCTGAAAGAAAGCAGTTAGAAAAGAAAGCGCAGCTTAAGAAGACTAGAGATAAAGAGGAGCTAGCTAAGGCTAAAAAAGAGAAAGAGGAGAAAGAAGCTTAGGAGCGCGAGACTTAGCTAGATAGCCTGCTAGATAGCGACGACTACCGCTCAGACAGCAGCTCAGATATTAACTCTAAGGATAACTTAGAGGATAAGGAGGCAATGACAGCAAAGGACCTTGCTAGAGAATAAAAGGAAAGGCTTAAAGCCTTATTAAACGCTAAGTAAGTCTACTGTAGAAGACAGTTAACTACTGTTCACCCTGCTAATAAATAAACTAGAACGAGAGATAGTCTCTCTGCAAGAGTAGGGACAGCAATAGAACACTGCACTCTAGAAGAGTAGACTTTAGCTGCAGTATTCTTTAGCGTTTTAATTAATAACCTCTAGAACAAGCGCACAATAAAGCTACTAGCATGTTAGGGGGTTAGTTACGACTTTACCCTATACTAGCTTACAGACGCATACATCCTCTACTTCAAAGAGTTATTATCTGATAATAGCGGGATCTTTGCTAACGCTATGAGCATAGGCAAAACGCGAGCGATAGTGCTCGCCGTCCTTATAGGACACGTTTACTTTAAGAACTAGACGGAAGTGCAAAATGCGTAAGCAGAAGGCGATGCGACAGAACACAACGCAGTTAATGATAATAATAAGCTATGTCCTACTAAAGGCGAGAGAACGTTCTACTGCGCGTGCGAAAGGAGCTCTTCCTTTAACGCTAAACCTTAATAAGCAGCTACAATAATAACTAGTTAGAGGCGAGCAGCTGATGCCTAGAAGAACGAGGTAGTTGCGATAGATCTTGCAAACTTTACGTAGTGCGACCTAAGCGATCTGCTAGCCCTACGGTTCTGCTTCTTTAGTGACTCTCTCTTAGAGAATATAAGCAGACTAACGAAAGAGGAAGCAATAGAGATGCGAATTAATACTACTAACGCTATCTCTAAAGCGCTCGCTGCTGCTAATAAGTTAGTCGCTCTACAGAGCTACGTGCTAGGAGGCGTAGATTATCGAGAAACAGTCTACTAGATAATACTAGAAGCGAACACGCCTGCTGTGCACTCTAAGGCTACGAAGCACTATCTAGCACTGTTAGCAGCATAGTTTGTAATAGTCTGCGGCTTTAGAAAGGTAGATAAGCATGTGTTTAGAGCTTATAACACTATAAGCGTTACGGCACAGCAAATAATTATACGCAAAGGCGGCTCTTATATAGAAAAGAGGGGCGATACTGCTTTCTAGTTATGTTACTGTATAGAGGCAGACTGTATTCGATAAATTCTACAATTGCAAGTTAGAGGGCACAATTATAGCTAAGTTTTACTAGGATATTCGAAGCTATAACTACAGATACTAATAGAAAGCATAGGCCCTATCTGGAACGCCTATAGAATAAGGACTAAATGAGATCTTAATCTTCGTGTCGCTAGCACTTATTAGCCTTTAAAACAGGAAAGAGGTCTCTAACTAGTTTAACGCTACTAATAAGAGAGACTCTATAACTAGCGATCGCATCTATAAGATAGAAGATGCAGTCTACCGGTCGATTGCAGAGATACTATCTTATAGAACTCGCTAAAACACAGCTCTTAATAGCCTAGCAATAGCTAAATAATAGCGCAATATAATTGCTAATGTAAAGCACGACGCAAGCGAACATAAGTCGTCTTATAAGTATAAAGAACTTATATCTTAAGGAGCAGCAGTAGCGCAGAGGTTTATGTTGAAAAGAATATTAAAGACGCGCGACCTGTAGGGCAAACTAATATCTAGCATTAAGGGCGACTTCCTGCCTTACTTCTAAAGCTGCCTATGTCTAGATTTCCTTAGTACAGTATAAAACGCTGAGCAATAATGCAGAGATATCCTAGAAAAAGAAGGCCTTAATGAATTAGAAGCTAGCAGACGTGTAATCTTCAACTGCTTCGAGATGTAGGCGATAGCATCCTACTCTGCGCTTGCTACTCTAAAGGCAGTATAGTTTAAAACATACGGCAGCTGCAAAGTTAAACGCTTCACGTTAAACAGCGTGAAGGACCTCTTTACTAACCTAAGCAAGGACTATTTCCTAGTATAAGAGGCGCGTGCTATAACTAAAAGCAGCCTAAAGTTTCAAAACCTATTAAATTTATGCTCTAAGGTTGAAATTCTAGGAACGCTAAGCTGGATATAGAGCATTGCAGCAGAAGATGCAGCGAAAGCAGCTAATACACTACTACTGCCAAAGGAAGTCTGCGCTAAAATCCTTATAGAGTTGTATAAACTAATCGTGCAGGCAGTAACGTAGCTAGGCTTAAGAGAGAAGTTTAGTGACGAGAGCGTCTTGGTTATGCAGGGAGATATAACATAGCACGAAATTAACCTTAAGCTTGCTAAATAGAGGGATCTAGATAGGCCTTAGATTATAGTAGCTTTAATAGCATTTGCAGAGGCAATTACACTAACAGAAGCTATGCACGTCGTTATTATAGAGCCGCAAGATAGGTAGAATACATAGGATTAATTTATATTCTAAGTGTACTGACTCGGCTAGTTGGCAGAAATATGTGTCGGCATTGTCTATTTTAACCTAGACAGTGAACTAGAACTTAAAGTACTAGGTAAGCAGGACGTTAAAACAACTTCCTGAGATAAACTATAAGGTAGAGGATCGACAGTTACGGATTAACGCATAGACTGGCATTAAACTGAACTAATTGTTATGAGTTTAGAAGCACTCTGCTAAGGTCCGGCGCACTGCTAGGAAAGGTGCTTAACGGTGCTTAACAGTGCTTAATAGTGCTTAACAGTAGATGACTGTATAGAATGCAGGACTAGCATAGTAATAGAATAATTCTTATGTTACTAATAATCTTAACAAAGCTCTTTCTAGTGATATCTGTAATGTCTAGTTATAATGCAGAAAGAAGTAAATATGTAGTAAGATACTAAGGAAAGTATATTAAAGAAGTAAACTTTAATAGCGCAGGTAGGAAGACAGAGTAGGTAGGGAGAAAGAAAATATAATAGTTAAAGACGGTAAAGTTGCGTGCTAGACCGTTGCGTCGACAGTTCCGACAATTCTGACAGTACTGACTATTTCGACGAAGTTTTGTTTTAAAGTATATTTGATAACAAACATAAATTCCTCGAATCGATTAACTCGCTAGCGACACAGTCAATTCTACAGTATCAATAGAAATAAATATTTGACAGATTTTTAGTTTTCCTGACGAACTTATATAGTCTTAGCATTAACTTAACCTTAGTTAACCTATACTTAACTATACCTTAACTTATACCTATATGTAAGTTATCTATACTTATTTGCTAGCCTAGCGTCTATTACCTAAGCTACATTCAATTAAACACTACAATTGAATTGCAAACGCAATTATTCACTTATTAAGCTTAGTTGCTTTAGATCTACTGTAGGATACTATAGCTTAGGAAAGAGAGAAGGTAAGAGGATAAAGGTCGTTTTATATACTTTGCTTAATGTGAGGTTAGGGCTAAGGACTTGGCTGCATAAGCAAGGATGTTAAGTAGCACTTGCATTGTGTATTTGCTGCACTTGTGACTCAGTCATGCATATAGTATGCTGCAAGTGGTAACACTATTACGGAACCATAACTTCTTCTCGGTAGAAGTCTGCCATACCGTCTTTGACTACCTTGCGAAGTTGGGCAGCTGCGCGACCGAGCTCGCCACCAGCTTTCGTTGCTTGCTCAAGGCCTGCGACGACTGCTGTTTCGGCCCTATCGTGAAAGATCCTCTGCCGATCTTCTCTGTCCTCGTACATTTCTGCCTCTTCATCCCTCGTCGCGCCAAAAAGATTGAGGTGCGCATACGCATTAGATCGTTCCGATAGCCTGTGATGCTCCGTCTGCCAGAGCGGAAAACTGTTCCCAACCACGACAACCGGCGTGGCGGCCTGCGCGTGGAACAGACCTGTGCGAAGAAAGGTTGTGAGCGCGCTCATCTGCCTGGCTTGCATTTTCGAATCTGCCTTACCAAAGGCTTTCGGCGCAGACCATTTGCTTGTGGCCTCACTCTGCCAGCCAAGCAGACTCAAGAAGCATTTCAGCATCTTGACCCAACCACCAGCGCAACTCACTACCTCGTCGCCCGCTACACCAAGCAACCAGTCCAGCACGTCCAGTCCGAAAGTCCGGATTTCGTTGGCCAGGTGGGTCATTGCAGCTCGAGTATGGAGCAGGAGTTGGTCAGCGTGGCTGGCGATGTCGGCCGGTGGCAGGCTGTGCAGAAGCTTGAGCAATTGCTGTCGAACACTGTTGGTACCGTCCAGAATGAGTCGTTGTGCCACCGGGATGATCACAGATGCGGGCTGAGGTAAAGGAGCCATGGGAGGGTTGTTCACGATTGCTGTAGTCAAGTACGCCAGGGACTCGCGTCGCTGGGCGTCCGACTTATGATTTAGTAGGCCCAAATGGTGCGCACATTGCGCTTCCAATGTCGGGGCAACAGTTGACAGAGACTGCTGCTTCAATGCAATTGCTTTGAAAATTAGGAACGGTTCAATGCTGCGGGAGTTGATGTACCTACATTTTGCCTTGAAGCTCGTATCTGTGCTGTTCGCGGCCTTGGGTCGCCCCTTGCCAACCTTTAATTTGACTTTCTGCAATTCGGTCAGCACTGCGTTTCTAATGGATTTCCCTTGATCGTCTTGCCTGAAAATCCTTCTTCTTTTCCTTCTTTTTCTTAGAGCTCGAAGTCATCTTGTGTCTCAGCCACAGTCCAGGTATGTGTCTCTATGTGTACGTGGTGGGATACTGGTTATCAAAAGCATGAATGCTACGATTTTGGCGACATGGAGAAGTTGGGTATATTGCCGTCGATGCATGTATGCGGTTTGAGGCTCGAGGAAAATTGATGGTCAATGACGCTAGCTGAAATATGGCTAGATAGATTGCACCTTGGCAGGGACCAACCCTCGGCTGCACCTGCCGCACCTTTGTGTACGCGCTTCAACACCATTTCCCATTACACTGCTCATTCGCAGCAACTTGTTCAGCAAGATCCTGTTGTGACTCTGACCATGGCTCAGAATTCCGTAAGTTGTTTCTTGCAGCGCATGAATATTTAATTAACCATCAACCAGTCAGACGACACACTCTCCCATCTCACTCGCCTCAGCCAAAAGCCTGGCGTCCAAAGCACCCTGATCCTCTCGCGAGAGACCGGCGCCATTGTTCGCACTTCCGGGCTGATATCGAAGAGCTCCTCGGCCAATCCTAACAGCACCCTCCCTGCTTCAGGCGAAACAGCGAGCGATAGCTATACCAACGGCAGGAAAGAGAGTGGCATACACAGCGCAGAGGATGTCGCCAGTCTGGTCTGGTCGTTCCTCAAGGCCGCAGGCAGTTTGGTAGACGAGCTGGACAACGACGATGAGGTCAAGCTGCTGAGATTACGCACCAAGAAGAATGAGCTTGTCATAGTGCCTGGTATGAGCAGGAGCCACAATGGTTCGGGGTACCCCGCTAATTGAAGGCCAGATCCAAAGTTCATCCTCGTTGCCATACATGACACACCACCAGCCTAGGATATAGACTTCACGTCTTCGAATTCTACCGGAGAGACAGCTTTACATTCATATTCTTGAAACCAAGATTGGAGGCTCCTGCAATTACCAGTGCGCCTCGCTAATGTCAACTTCATTGACATCGACCCCATCCTTGAACCAGCGGTCTGGTCGTGGGTCAGTCGCCGCACTTACCGGACTACACACTTATGCACCGATCGGAGACACTGTGAACTTGAACATGGGCACTTACCAGCTTCGCTAATGTCAATATCGTTACCGCTCATCTGCCGTTTTCGCATCTTCCCATCCTCGGCAAACGTCCAATCTTCGAGACCGTAACATCGCTTCCACTTCATGCCATCCTGAGCATCCTGGTATTCGTACCAGAATTGGACTGCAATCTTATTGTCTGAGAAGGCAAAAAGCTCTTTGCGAAGACGATAACTCTTTTCCTTCTCCCACTTATTGGCGAGAAACTCCTCAATGGCTACGCTTCCAGCAACGAAAGATGTCCTATTCCGCCAGATGCTGTCATGCGTATACGCTTGGGCGATGATTTTAGGGTCCCTGCTGAGGTCAATGAAAACTCGTGTGGTATGCAGCCTCGAAATCTTTCTTACTGTCCATTCCAGAGGTCTTGTGCCTTTTTGACTTTGGCGTGGGCAGTCTCTCTGGTGAAGGGAGGATTAAGCGACATATTGTCGGATTTGGAAGAAGTTGGTGGACAATCTGAAAGTAGTAGCACTTAGAATTATGGAAACGAGCGACAGGTATCACGCTTTTATACACCGATCACGTCGTGGTCGCAAAACCATCGAAGAGTCACACGTCTTTGCTTATCTCGCGCAATGAAACATGACTAAGTTCATTGATCCTTTGCAGCCTTTCTCCGCAGCGGTAGATATGTCGTGCCCGAGCACACCGAAAGTTCCAGGAATCCAATTCATAGTCACTGGGGCGGAACATCCCGACAAGCAGTATGAAGTAGTTCTGTATATTGATAATTGATAATACTTCTCCGTAAGGTCTAAACGCTCTGGTTGTCTGACAGAAAATTCTAGCACAGAGCCGGATTCTCGCGCATGTCGGATCCGAGTCCCGGCGGTACCTGGTGGCCGCATGCTTACATCTAGTTTGATAGTCCGAAACGCCTATGAAGCACATATCAGTGCAGAGCGAACTCAATCTTGCGTGATTATTCAATCGCCGAGTTGCTCTGAGTGACGGAAAAGGCCTAACACCGTAATCGCGAAGTAACAGTCTAAGAACATGAATCACCCCACCAACAAAACTGTAAGCACGCAACAATGCGGTGCTCAAGCTAGCAGCGAATTCGAGTAATGATAGGACGCAAGTATTTGTCAACCTACCCTACGCTTTGCATATGCAGGTGTCCCTCGGCAACATGCGGTGCCTGGCCCCTGCCTGGCCAACGTCACTGCCCCGCCTACCGAATCTAGAGCTCTAGCTTTATGAAAGCAGCCAGCCCCTCTATAACATGTAACAGCTTCAATTCCTCAACACAACACTTCACATACCAACTCAAACTCCAAGTTAAAAGCAAGAACACCAATTGATCATCATGGCTCCTCTCAAAGTCGGTGACTCTCTGCCTGAGGGCGTCAAGTTCGAGTACGTACCTAATGTCTCACTTGAGACTGCGAGACGGAGCAGTACACAACTAACATGAATGAACCAGATATGCTCCCATCACCGATTCCGACCCGACTGCCTGCGGCCGTCCCCAAGAATACGACGCCAGCAAAGAGTGGGCGAACAAGAAAGTCGTCCTCTTCTCCGTCCCCGGCGCCTTCACTCCCGGGTAACATGCACCCCATCCCCACCCTACCACCACCACTCACTAACAAAACCCACGCAGTTGCCAAGCCTTCCACCTGCCCCCATACATCAAGAACCGCAAGGCCTTCACCGACAAGGGCGTCGACATTGTCGCGACCATTGCGTCTAACGACAGCTGGGTGATGAATGCGTGGGGCAAGGTCAATGGCGTCAAGGGCGATGAGGTCTTGTTCCTCAGCGACACTAAGACGTTCTTTAGCAAGAACTATGGCTGGGATGCGGGTATGGGAGATCGCAATGGGCGCTGGGCTATGGTGTTTGATAACGGTAAGGTTATCTACGCCGAGAACGAGAAGAGCCCTGGTGAGGTCAGCGTTTCGGGTGCTGAGGCTGTACTGTCGAAATTGTAGATGAGAGGTGTAGCTGTGGAGGAGACTCGACTTGAGAGTTTTAGAGACCTCGTACCATCAAAGCACGGCAATCCAAGAAAGTGAAACAAATCGATATCTCTCCCTAACATGTCGCATTGCAAGAAGTGATAATTGACATCTATGGGACCTTGTGACTCTTGAATTTGCCAGATGCTTGGAGACCGATGTCATTTCAATATCTGATTACGGCCAATGCTCTGCACTTGACAGCACATGGCTGCCAGGTATGCTTCCTTGATGTCGCCCCTGCTCCGAGGAGATCCATTGTGCTTGAAACTTCCCCTGTATTGCCGTCCAACCCCTCATTGACACACGTTCCTCAATCAAACGGAGTCAGGAAAGACTCGGCTACAAAACGCGCTCTCGCGTTCAAAAACAACTTCATCTCTGAAATTTCCTTATCGACCTCCTCCATGAACTGAATGATAAAGTCCACAAGCTTGTGCTTCAACATCTCCTCTGTGTGGAAGTTGGTGATCAAGAAACTGATATCATATCCCTTGACCGGTTTCCGTCGCAAAATATAGAAGCTCTCAGCGCGCTGCGTCAAGAAGCGCGTGAATTTGTGTACGAGGATGTGTTCGATCTCGTCGGCTTGTTTGATCTTGATGCTTATGCGTACGCTGTTGATTGACGGCTCAATGTACACTCGCTCGTTCTCGTTGCGGGAGACCGTCAGCGGGTTTAGGATGACTTCGGGCGAGCTGGCAGCTTCGATCTCGGGGACATTGTGTCGCTCCGAGGCTTGTGAGGCGAAGTTGGACAGCGAGAGCGCGGCGGTGAGCGAGGTGCGCACGCATTGCAGATAGGGCCGGAGGGATTGGGACTGCGTGGTGTTAGTGTGGGAGTGCCCGGGTAGCAGTGGCACGGCGCACCATTGTGAGGAGAGCTCAGAGTCAGCTCAGGACTGGGTTCGGACGCTGTCGGTGGTTGTAGGCGGCTATGACATGCCAGTGCGCAGCATTGAAGATGCCTGGGTGGGGGTTGGCTGGAAGCTGGGGTCCAGCGGCGGAAGGCACGACCTCGGGATGGCCCGTGCTTCTGGGGCATGATTCGGTATGCTTCGCCCATCGACCATACTTTTGCCCCGCGACTCTCTTACAAACACTTCTCGCCGCTGCGACCGCGACTCTCTTATACACACTCTCTACAGTACTCTCACCTCGTCAAACAGATATCATGGCGTCGATACCAGGTATGAGCCCGCTACCATTCCACATAACCCCACGCGCCACTAACACGGTCTGCTTGCAGTGATCGTAAAGCACCAGGGCAAGAAGCACGAAGTCGAGGTCGACCCCTCCTCCAACGGCGAGACGTTCAAGTACCAGCTCTTTTCCATCACCGGTGTCGAGCCAGAGCGCCAGAAGATCATCGTCAAGGGTGGACAGCTCAAGGACGATGCCGACATGTCGAAGCTGGGGCTCAAGCCCAAGCAGGTCCTAATGATGATGGGCACGCCATCCGCAGACGCTCAGGTCATCGAAAAGCCCAAGGAGAAGATCAAGTTCCTGGAAGACATGGATGAGGCGGAAGCTGCGCAGCTGGAGGGAGCCACACCGGCGGGTCTGCAGAACTTGGGCAACACGTGCTACATGAACTCCACCGTCCAGGCTCTGAGGTCCATCCCAGAACTTCAGGAAGAGCTACTGCGGTACTCTTCCTCAAGGTATGTTCCGCCTCCCAGGCCTGATAATTAGAAGCTAAGTGTACACAGCGGCAGTGGTGGATCCTCCAGCTCAGCGGCAGCCCTCAGTCAGTTTGGTCTGGGTGGCCTCGGAGCTAGCAGCTCAGCAGATCTCACGGGCTCCCTACGCGATCTTTTCAAGCAAATGTCCGAGACACAACACGGCGTCCCACCCATGATGTTCCTCAACACTCTCCGAACGGCTTACCCCCAGTTCGCGCAAAAGTCAAAGGACGGACACGGCTATGCACAGCAAGATGCGGAAGAGGCTTGGTCACAGATTGTTTCGCAGCTGCGGAATAAGCTGACAGTCAAGAACGGAGCTGAGGGCAAGTCAGCCGAATCGTCTTGGATCGACAAGTACATGGCCGGCAAATTCGAGTCCATCATGGAGTGCGACGAGCCTGCAGCAAAGGAGGGCGGCGAGGAGCCGGTGTTCAGCGAGGATCTATTCCTCAAGCTCAATTGCCATATCAACGTTGAGACAAACCACCTCAGAGATGGTCTAGCGGCTGGCTTGAAGGAGCAGATCGAGAAGCGATCAGAAGTGCTCGGACGGAACGCTGTATACACCAAGACCTCCCGCATCGCACGACTGCCGAAGCATCTCCCCGTACATTTCGTTCGCTTTGACTGGCGAAAAGACACCAACAAAAAAGCGAAGATCATGCGCAAGGTTACTTTCCCGGATGAGCTGGACGCGATAGAGTTCTGCACAGATGAGTTGAAAAAGCTGCTCATCCCTGTGCGTGACAAGATCCGCGATGTCCGCAAGGAAGAGGAGGATGTCGAGCGCGCTCGCAAGCGCCAGAAGCGCATGAAGGCTGGAGAAGAGAATGACCAAGGGCCCAATGCTAGCAAAGAGCCCCTACAGAAGAAGAAGGACCTTGAGAAGGCAAAAGAAGATGCTAAGAAGCCCGCCGAGGACACCGAGATGGCAGAGGTTGAGTTCAAGACTGATGCCCAGATTGAGGCTGAGCGCGCAGCATCTATTCTGGCCGCGAAGAAGGAGGTCCTTGCACTCGTAGATCCCAAATACGGCGCGGACGAGGGTGCCAACCAGACGGGTCTGTACGAGCTGAGGGGTGTGATCACGCACCAGGGCGCCAGTGCTGACAGCGGTCACTACACGTCCTTCATCAAGAAGCAGGGCGCGAAGGACCCCGTTACTGGCAAGCGGAAAGAAGAGGACGGCAAGTGGTGGTGGTTCAACGACGAGAAGGTGACAGAGGTTGAGGCAGAGCGTATCCAGACTTTGTCTGGTGGAGGTGAGTGTTCTCATCTGTGATTGTCCACACATGCATGTGCTAATTTGGAACAGGTCAGAGCCACTCCGCACTTATCCTCCTGTACCGTGCAGTCTCGCTGCCTGTAGTCGATGAGGATGTTAAGATGGCGGAGTCATAGGCATCCATTTGCAGGCGAAAGAGCACTCGTGCACACATAGATTTCATCACTCAGGTAGTAGCATTATGATGCATAGCATCGGCGTTGCATAAGAGTATGGACATGACATGACATGACATGATTAGTATGGCTGGAAAACCAATTTCAATGATATGGATCTTTCAAAATGTTGATTTTTTGCTCGGCATGCCTGTGCCGTCTTCATCTTCACTTCACCACGCGTACTGGAAGCGCGTCGAACTTCCACGCTAAGCCTCGTGGCAGATCACGTCCTCACCTCCACCTCCACATCTGTTTTCGCATACCATCGCCTACATTGTTTTCCTTCGGTGTCTTTACGCTATCATTTCCGCATTGTCTGATCGCATCCGTACAGTCTTTCCACGCGCATCTTATGTACCATCATGTTCTATAGTCACGAGAGTGAGCACCAACGAGTGCACATCCTACTAATAATGAGCTAACAGTCACAGTCTTAACGTCGCGCAAGTATGGCGTTGCGACAGTCTGGTCAGTCGTGCATGGTGGTTCACAGCTCTTTCTATGTCTAACGAATGTGGTAGGCTTGTTGCAACACTCGGTTCCAAGTCCAGCTTGAAGCGCATCAATCGCAAGCAGATCCTCGACGTCGACGTCGCGAAGGCATGTCAGACGATTGTTGACCCAGTGGCGCCTATGGCCTTGCGCCTTCAGGGCAACTTGTTGTATGTGGAAGCAACACCACATTCACAGTGCACTCCTAACTCGCGCGCAGGTACGGTGTATCGCGTGTGTACTTGCAACAGTGTGGCTATGTACTATCAGACGCTCAGAATGCGCACAACACCATGGTCTTGATGCTGCGCACTGTCCAGAACCATGCCCTCGATCTAGACGCTGGCAAAGCTCGGTGAGCACCCTTCACCCTGCTTATAACTTTCACTGCGCTGACATAACATCTTCAGGCCTGAACAGCTCGTCCTCCAAGACGACCCATCGTTCCTTCCCGACTTTGCCCTGCCTCCCCCAGAAGTCCTGGCCGATCTCGACCTCGGGCTCGACTTCATCGTGTCGCGCTCTGGCGATTCTCAGTCCTTAACCCCCTTCGGCTCGCAGCAAACCCAGTCGTCACCCAACGCTGGTGCGCTAGGTGGTCTCGTCCTACCCACCTCCTCACCAGACGGCCCGGGAGGCTTCCAGTTTCAGAGTGGCGACGAGGCAGCTGGGACCACTAGCTTCGTTGGCGGCGATGATGGCTTTGACATCGGCGAGCCTGACTTTGGCTTCGACGAGAATGGGGAGTTGATCGAAGGTCCTCTCGTGATGCCGCCTGTAGCTGGAACGCCTGCTGCGAGGAGTGCGGCAGGAATGCATAGTGATGCAGGCGCGAGTACGAAAGTGAGGAAGGAACATGAAGAGGGACGTATGGGTGGTGCACAGGTGAGTTTTACTGCTGTTTGTTGCGTTATTTGTCACCTTATCCTCACTTCACTGTCCTTCAAGGTGTGCCGCTTGGCCTCACTGGGTGCCTCAGCATGACTATACATGCCGTCTCACTTGGATCCTGAGCGGCTTTCAGCTGCCCTGTTTTGAGGCAATTTCTTTACTTCTGACGCCTGCTGGCACTTGTACTCTTTCTTCTTATCAGTTCTTCCTGCTATCATTGCACTGCATTTCCTCAATACTCACAATGGCGACTGATATCTACCAGATTCCTGATGATCATATGAATCTTGGTCTTCCTATCTACGACGAAGAGCTTCCAGATGGCGAAGCCTTTCCAACCGACAATCAGGAACTAGGTAGCGACCAAGCCGAGATTGTCCAGTCCTCCTCTGCAACCTCTGCAGCTATGCGCAAGAAGCGAGCTCCGCGTGTACTGCCTGTCGATAAACGAATGGAACTGCGCAACAAAGACCTCGTTGAGTGGAACACGAATTACCTCAAGAACATGGATGCGGTCATCAAGGGCAAGAAGAAGTCTCGCATTGCTCAGCAGGCAAAGAAAGGCGCTGACTACTATGTTTGGGGTCGTGGACTCGGTGGAATCGCAGAGCACTATGCTGGAGCCACAGGTCCGAATCCTTTCGAGATGTTCATCGGCGACAACTTGTTTGAACTCGCGACTGGAGTCAGCCGTAATAAGGTTGCCGGCAAAAAGCATGATCGTGACAGTGGCATCGACGAAGCAACTCAGGAGGAGTCTCGACGCGTGCGCCAGAAGACGAATGAGCCCGGTTCCGAAATGGGTCGTGGACAAGACGACGAAGGTTTCTTTATGCCCGGTGACGATGAAGTGGAAATGCCACGTGATGCACCTCCGGCTCTCGACGACCAACAGATCCTCTCTTCTATGCCATGGAACACAGGTTCCAAGCGAGGCTCTTCGGCCATTCCTCGCAGCGGACGTCCCGGTAGCCGACCCGGAAGTCGCCTTGTCTCTGCATCTCCTCTCCACGGCCGTGGCGAACGTCTCGATCTGGGAGCACTGGGTCTTCCGGAGAGCGATGCCGACTTTGCAATGGGCGGAGACGAGTTCGACATGGCGGGACCCAGCTCGCCCCCAACGCTCATTCCATCGCCCAAGGACCAGAAGCCGTCTACTCACATCAATAACGCACTCGATACCGAGGGCAACAACTTCCTTGAGTTCGTCACTGATACCATTCTCGATAAGCGGAACCGTGCTCAGGTCGCTCTTGGTCACATGGCTAGTCTGCAGCAAGTCCAGACTGCCGCAAACATCGACACTCTCACTTTCGAAGAGCTTCTCCCACCTGTTGAGAATACCAAGGTGATTGCATGTCAGGGCCTGATGATGGTTTTGACGCTCGGCACAAAGGGCATGCTAGACGTCCAGCAGCGCACCGACTTCGGCGACATCAACGTCAAGCTCACTGAGCAGGCAAAGGCCACTCAGGTCGTGGAGATCAGCGACGACGAAGACTCTGAGGATGAGGAGAGTTCGGATGGCGGTGTGGAGATCATGGAAGATATGGTTGTTGGGGAACAGGGTGGAGACGAGGGTCACTTTGAGAACCAATTCGCGGCTGGGTATGCGGAGTACGGCGAGGATGACCATGATGAGCTCTATGACGATTGAGCTATCTTACGGCATCTGGGACGGTGGCCCAAGGGGATGTGGCATGTTAGACTATGTTTCCGACATGTGTTTCACGTTATTAACGCATGAATTGTAGGATAACGATTCACAAAATGGTAGGGGGATAGCAGAATATGGGGTATGTAACTATTCAAAAACTTTGTCTCATGTGGAGTACCATGCAATTTGGGCAAGCATCGAGGCATCTAGGCAGCGAGGACAGCACTCTTCCGCTACATTGTATGGGCCCCAAGTCAACCAATATGGTAGTTCCCCGAGACTTTGGCATGCAAGGCGGTAATGGCGAGAGTTCATCCAGACGAAGTCATGTCGAAAGTAGACGGGGCAGTAGGTACAATTCTGGGTAAAGTTCGCTGCAGAGTATCACGGATTACGTCACCACACTAAACACCGAAACGGGTGGCGGTCCGCCGCCATCCGCACCCCGAAGCGCACGCGAAACGAACTTTGGACCCTTCAAACGCGTCCTGACACGCATCTTGACCTGTTGTGCTGGCTACACGTATACACCTTATATACCTCTTCCTATGCTGCATGCCCTTTGCCCTCAATCAAACATCTGCAATTGGTCTACAGCGACCCGGCCATCGACATGTCTTCAGCAATGATATCGCAGACGCTGCAGGGCACGGTGCTCAGCATGACTTCCAATGTCCTGGCCCAAGCAATATCGTCCTATCAAGACAGTGTGAGAGGCCTCTCAATACGCGCGCAATCTTCTTCACTACTGATTCGTTCCAATGACAGACGCCGTTTACCCTTAACATTGCGCCTGTCGTCAAATTCGCCATATTCAGCATCATCAGCAACCCGCCCAACATTATTTGGCAGACGTTCCTCGAAGACCATTTCCCGACAAACGTACCAGTCGCTACGTCTAAAGCGCCGAACGAGAAGAAGCCCACAACACCGAAGACGACGCAAACAAGCAAAACCAATGTCCTCATCAAGTTTGTGCTAGACCAGACCATTGGTGCACTGGTTAACACACTCATGTTCCTGGCCTACATGGCCTACATCAATGCGTCGCAGCAGGGCAAACAGGACGCCTGGGGTGCCGTTGCACAAGAGTGCAGCAACAAGACGTGGCCCATGATGAAGGATGGTTACAAGTTCTGGCCCGCCATCAGCTTGATAAGCTTCGTGTGGATCCCAGTCGATAAGAGAGTTGTCTTTGGCTGTTCAGTGGGTGTCGTATGGGGAATCTATTTAAGTCTCATGGCGGACGCTTGAGCTCGCGGTAAGCTGCTAGATTCGGGAAATGTTCGTCGGTGCCGGAACTGAGCCAAACTGGCGCAGCTTAGCAGCCTGCGTGCGCCAGGTTCCCAATGCTCAGTGGATCTCAACAACTTAGTCCATGATCGCTCCAGATGTACTGCAATACCCATGCTTAGCGCCGCACATCAGCCTTGCAAAAGCCTGGAACCATCAACAGCTCTTCCAGCGGAAAGATAACAGTTATGTGCCAGCCGAATTAGTGGTCTTGCAGAAGTGCATCCCCCACGTGGGCGCTCTGTACGCAGCGGCTTGGGACGAATTGTAGCTTTCAGATCAACTCCATCAACTCTGCCCAACAGCACTTTGCGCATATGCATGGCTATATTGGTGACACGCGGGATCACTAAGGTAGCCAACAGAAACCGCGGACGTACAGCGCGGACGTACAATATTGGAGATAATGCACCATGCGTGTACAAGGCCTAACGGAATAAATCCTGCGTCGTGCCACACCGGCGATTTGCGTAACACGGGCCATACCGCGCCTAACGGTCTACTACAGTATGAAGTGTTAAAGCAGCGATCTTGACGGTCGAGGCTTGTGGCTGATGCAGCATCCTTGCAGCTCCCTCTTCCGGCCTCGCCTCTACGCCATAGTCTTACACGAGAAACTTATGGTTGACCTTGTGCATCCGGTCGCGATGGCCGATCTTCTAGGCTTTTGATACTTGCTCGCTACTGCAATGTTGTACTCTGCGGTTCCCCAAAAAGCCCTGGTCGTGCTTGCTGGTAACGGACATTGAAGATTTGGTACCGAGCTTTGCCGTCTCTGATCTGCCTTGACCAACCCTCCACTGTTAATGCAATTCATTTTACTCCCGCTCAACAGAACTTTCGGCTGCCCACTTACCGTCGTCACAGTTATTGCTACATCGTTCATGCTTCTCTTCATTATTTGAAACTGCACACTCATCCCACTCCTTTCACTTGTCGGCAAATATGAGTAACCACAATCCTGAGAAGCGCTCTGAAGAGCTCGGCACACCAGAACAAATGTCGTCAAAGTCGGCTGCGAGCGATATCCATCCGACCGATACCGTGCACGAGGCGGAAAATCCTTTCGCAACCCCAGGCACTCAGACTCCAAATGCTGCTGCTACTTCAAGAGTTCCCTTCTCGGAGTCCAGGCCAGAGAGCTTGACCGGCTCAAGTGGCGCTACGTCGGGCTACCAGTACTTTCCACGAGGAGAGTATTTTCGATCTCGGCGTATCAAGAAGGGCGAGATTGAGCGGCCCTGGCTTGACAAGAAAGATCCCAGGGAGAAGTGGATGACCATCATACCACTCATCGGTCTCTTCCTTGGACTCTGTGTCGTCGGTATACTTGTCTGGGACGGCGTCCGCAGCGTGGCACAGCACAAGTATTGTGAGGTTCTCAACGATGACTTCACCACATGGAACAGCAATGTATGGACGAAGGAAGTTGAAGTTGGCGGCTTCGGGTAAGCAACCAGTTCTTTCAAGCGTGACTTGTTACTCATGGGCAATGCAGCAACGGACAGTTCGAGATGACAACTAACTCGGATGAGAACGTCTTCGTCAAGGACGGAGTACTCACGATCATGCCGACGTTGCAGGACTCAAGTATATTGGACACCAACCACGTCATCGATCTGCGTGGTCAAGGTTGTACTGGCTCCAAGTGGACCGACTGCGTGACGTCGACCAACACGACTAACGGCACAATCATCAGCCCAGTCAAGTCTGGTCGTATCAATACTAAGCTGGGTGCTTCGATCAAGTTCGGCCGTGTTGAGGTTCTCGCTAAACTTCCAGCCGGAGACTGGTTATGGCCTGCGATTTGGATGTTACCACGAGACAATGTCTACGGAGAGTGGCCTCGCTCCGGTGAAATTGATATCATGGAGTCTCGTGGAAACAACTTCACCTATAAGCAAGGTGGAAACAACATCGCGTCCAGCACTTTGCACTTCGGCCCCGATGGTGACAACGATGGCTGGTGGCGCAACAACGTCAAGCGCAAGGCCCTTCACACTACTTATGCTTCTGACTACAACGTCTATGGTGTCGAAGTTCGTAAAGCAAGTCCTGAGTTTCGAACGTGCGCTAATTTGCCTACAGTGGAGCGAGAAATACATCTTCACATACATCAACTCACGCCTCCTGCAAGTTATGTACACACACTTTGATGAGCCTTTCTGGTCTTATGGCAAATTCCCACTCGCCGACTCCAATGGCACGCGGCTGCAAAACCCATGGGCGCAGACCAACAGCAACACTTCACCATTTGACCAAGACTTCTATCTTGTGATCAATGTGGCTGTAGGATCAACAAATGGTTGGTTCCAGGATGGCGGCGCTGGCAAGCCATGGCTGGACGGTAGTCCTACCGCGAAGAAAGATTTCTGGAGCGCGAAGGACCAATGGTACCCTACGTGGCAGGACGGAGGTCAGATGGAGGTCAAGAGTGTAAAGATGTGGCAGCAGAGTGGGTACAATGGTTGCACCGCTTAAGTTGAGCTGAATGACTAGCTGGTTGCGAGTGGCAGTTGGTGTTCGGGTACAGTAACACTTTACTTTGGCGTTGCCGGTGGCGCGCTCACGGTCGCGCATGGCGCATGGCGCAGATTTTTCCTTCACAGGCTTATGATAATTCTACCATTATTTCACGACCATAGTTCAAATGCAATTGAGTGTGTTGCTCGGTCGGGTGCGGGGATCCTCGAGCTTCCAGCTTACGGTACCTCACTAGCGCGTCGTGCCGTCCTTATTCCCATCCCTCAACCTTCCCCTCGTCACTCTTACCCCAGTACCCACCCCGGTGTATCTTTCTCACTCAACATGAAACACTCGCAAGAGACGATAATAGCACATGCGTTGGTCCATCGCACCTGCATTTGCCGATTGCAGGACATGTCTCCAGAAGGGAACACGCTGCAAGCCTAGTTCGACACACTTCCTTATCTGAGAGCTAGCAGCGTTGCACTGGAGCATCACGCCTTCAAATCGAACCAACCTTGCCATCATCGTATTGTTGAAGGACTGCTACGACTAGCAATGCTCGTTAACCCATTTTTACCAGGCGGCGAGCCGTCGCCGAACCGCCACACAATGATTCTAGTTAGAAACGCCCTGAATCCTGCAAAGCCTTGCCGCCTCGCGACTCGACTACAATTTGTCTCGGGCCGTGTTTCGCTTCCTACAGGCGAACAGGATCGTCATTCCGTGCCTTTTAAGTGGTGCGATCCGTTTCAATCGCTGCTTTACCAGCTGACAGCACCGCCACATCAAAACAAGTATTCACGCTGGCACATGCATTAGTACGTCCGGACGGGGGACTGAAGCCGAAGACCCCTGCACAAATGCGTCTACGAGTATTGAAATTCCACCAGACTGGTTCCAGTCATCTAGGTACAGACTGCCCTGCAGATACGGTACACACCTACATGTACATCGTGCTGGTGGGGCGACTTTGAGACAGCTCTGTAGTGTAGCAGAGTAGGCAACACCTGGTTGCGAATCTGATTACAGCCCGTAAAACATGGCCTTTGCGACCCACAATTGCGTGGGTGATAAGCTCAAGATTGGACTAGGCGGGGTCTTGAGCGTAGAAGGTGGTACAATCAGTCCGGCCGCACTGCATGCCTACATGCACGCCCGTCACTTGGCAAGGGTGCAATGTAACTGCAAGGCTTCATCACGATCACGACGTCGCAGACTTGTCTCTGAGGCCAATTACAGGATAAAGAGCTTGGACGCGGTGTTCTCTCCACTCAACTCGCTCTCGGTGCCATGAGGCACGTCTCTGATATGGGGTAGACGCTTGCCGTAAATGGATGTGAAACCCTATACTGTAGCACGAATCTCGAGTATTGCTGGGCTATGGGAGGTTGGATCTTGTCGCTTGACTGGACGGCACGCTTTGGGAGAAGCTCACTTTCCGAAGGATTCACTACAAGCCTAGCATGCATAGCTGCGCAGAAATCATGCAGACAGGTATTCTAGGTTCGCGTCAGCCGTAGACACTGCGTCTTATCGAGGTTTCTACAATATATGTCAACTAATACCAGTATTGCCACGGTCCATTACGTCGAACCCAGTCCTTCTTCAGCGAAGAGCTGGTCCTCAGCCGCAGCCTGTTCATCGTACGTCGTTACTCTGTGAAACCTTAACCTAGAGTACGACTGATTGGTCTTAATCAACGGCAACGCTCAGCCCGTTTGTAACGGTGGTTATCTTACGAGGCCTAGAAACATGTTGAGTGCATGTATATGCGCGATATTCTGATAATAACAGCCAACTACGGCATGTATCGAATCGACATGGGATATGGCGGCGAGGCTCACAACGACAGCCAATTGGCCGATCTAAGTGTTTCCAGAGTGGCGCATGGGTAGTCGCATACTCCATTAGGCACAAATGCGTATTTCCTACGTGTCCACGGTCCAGAAGTCATCGGAAGCCCTATGTGACTGTCCGAACTGCAGTCATCTTCACATTCATAGCTTGGCAGGATCATTGAGGCGCGCTACTACCTCAACGAAGCAGCAAAAAGACCGGTCTCCAACACGCCTCAAGCTCAACCACCGGTACGACCGAGGATCTAGATGCTGATGCTAGAACTTCGCTCAGCTGGTTTTAAGCGAGGGCGCGGGATTGCTATGCCGATACCACGTTCAGGTTGGCATGCCACCGGTGACACAGCTGTATCTTGTCCGTGCATTCGTGTGGCTGCCACCCGCTCGGAAGAGATACGCTGCCGCCGGTAGAGCTCTACCTCATATGCCGCTTTGGAATCTTTTTTCTTCTGACCTCAACTTTGTTGCTTCACTCTTGACTCTCGTTCATATTGGAATCCTCAGTCGTTTCAGTGCCAGTACTCTATCAGCTCTTGGGCTTTGCAATTGCGTTCCCCAGCAAACTGTATTCGTGATTAAGAAAGCACCATGGGCTTGTTCACCAAGAAACAGGAGCAGGGGGAGAAGCCGTCATCTGGCACTCCGGCAAGCTCAAGTGTCGGATCAAAGATATTTGGTTTTGGGCGAAGCAAACCTTCATCAGTCACAGAGGAACTCCGTCCTCCACCATCACCATGGGCTCCAGAAAGCTCAGCACAACGTAGTGCTGCGACTTCAGCATTCACTTCGAGAAGAAACTCATCTACATCTATGCGATCGTCCATGCTGAAAGAGTTGAAGTACGAGGCAATGGTCAACCATTTATTTCAACAACAATGCAGTAAGTTGGACCTCGCGGTTTTTCGTTGGCGTGCTTGCGCTCACACTTCACGTTAGGACGACTCTGGCTCAACGATGCGAGTGGTGATATTGAAGGTGTACTTTTGCGCAAATCTCGTGGTATCTACACAACCTGTCCACCAAATTTGGCGGAATCGGCCCTTGCCGATTATTGTGCGCGTCTCAACCTTCAGGTATTTTCCCGCCATTTTTTAACAGCAAGTCTGAATCTGACCAAATTTTAGGTTGCATTGACAGTTAATTCGCGAGTTATACAGACCTTTATCGAATGGTCACCAGGAGCGACTGATGTTCCATTGGGCAACGGCCTCCGTATTCAGGTGCTTCCATGCGTTGACGACCTTCCCAAAGCACGAAAAAACCAATGTGCCGCTTTTCTGGCGGCGGAATCACTTCTGATTGTCTGGGACGACGATCCAACGAAAGTTGTCGAGCGAGCGACTACAATCGAAAACGAATTGATGAACTTGGTTTGGCAGTCGGGTGAGCCTACTGAAGCCGAGCAAGCCTCCGACACAGAGAAAGCTCCCGCAGTCGTCGAGGGAGAGGTCGATGTGGAAGTCGGTGAAGCGGTACCCGAACGACGATCGACCAATATTATCAACGCGATACAAGTCGCAGCCACAATCATACTGATTACGGCCATGTTAGGGCTGGGATACAAGCAGATCGCTTTCCAAGTCCTCGTTGATAAAAGCTACGTTCGCGTAGCTTTCGTATTGATGACACCAGTTCTTATCTTCTTTTCCCTGGTAAAATATATCTATCCCATTCATGTGCTCTGCTCTAATGATTACGTAGTTCTTTTCCCAGGTCATCATCACCGATCTTTCGCAATTGTTCGGGCCCATCCGTCAGATGCAAACCAATTCGAAGTATTTCTCTGCCATTCTGCCGCGCCGTATCACCGGGATACTTCCTCACATCACCGTACAATGTCCCGTGTACAAAGAGGGTTTGACTTCTGTTATCGTACCGACTGTGCGGTCCCTGAAACAAGCCATATCCACTTATGAGCTGCAAGGGGGGTCTGCAAACATCTTCATCAACGATGACGGTATGCAGCTCATGACCGAAGATGAGCGAGAGGCACGCATCAATTTCTACCATGACAACGGCATTGGCTGGACTGCTCGCCCAAGACATGGCGAAGATGGCTTCCTGCGACGAGGAAAGTTCAAGAAAGCAAGCAACATGAACTACGGACTCATGCTGAGTAACAACGTCGAGGAAAAGCTAGCTGTAATAGAACGCGATGAGACATGGACCTCTAATGATGAGGCCAGAGAGTATGACCGTTGCCTCAAAGAAGTACTCCAGGCAAATGGCAGGGCCTGGGCCGACGGTAACATTCGTGTCGGTGACTACATTCTTCTGGTAGACTCAGATACTCGCGTTCCTTCCGACTGCCTTCTTGATGCTGCCAGTGAGATGGAGCAGAGTCCTGAAGTTGGCATCATGCAATTCTCATCCGGCGTCATGCAAGTTGTTCACACCTACTTCGAGAACGGGTAAGTCGCGCAACAGATCTCAGTTCTGAACAGAAGCTGACCGAGACCAGTATCACGTTCTTTACGAACTTAATCTACACGGCGATCTCATACACCGTCTCAAACGGCGATGTAGCACCTTTTGTCGGCCACAACGCGATTCTGCGTTGGTCTGCGATCCAAGAAGTCTCCTACTTTGACGAAGACGGTTACGAAAAGTTCTGGTCTGAATCTCATGTCTCTGAAGATTTTGATATGTCTCTGCGCTTACAGGTCAATGGCTACATCATACGTATGGCAACTTGGGCTGGCGACGGCTTCAAAGAAGGTGTCTCGCTTACCGTCTACGATGAACTTGCTCGCTGGGAAAAGTATGCGTATGGATGCAACGAACTGCTCTTCCATCCACTCAGGTTTTGGTTCATTCGCGGCCCGTTCACACCACTATTTCGCAAGTTCTTGTTCTCCAACATTCGCTTCACGAGCAAGGTCACTATTATCTCGTACATTGGTACATACTACGCCATTGGCGCAGCATGGATTATGACAACCGCGAACTACTTCGCCATCGGATGGTACAACGGGTACATTGACAAGTACTACATCGACTCGTGGAAAGTCTGGTAAGTCTTCACTCTCGTCGCCATCACAATCACCATTAACACAAACCGCAGGTTCGCCCTCGTGGTCATATTCGCCGGTCTAGGCAACATTTCCCTCGCTGTTCTACGCTACCGCCTAGGCACACACACATTCTTCTCCTCGCTCTTCGAAAACTTCAAATGGATCCTCATGCTCGCCATATTCCTCGGCGGACTGTCTCTACACGTATCCTCCGCGCTGCTAGCACACATGTTTGAGTACAACATGCAGTGGGGCGCAACCGCCAAAGAAGCTGAGTTCAGCAACTTCTTCATCGAAGTTCCGCGCGTGCTCAAGCGGTTTAAGTATTCCTTCGCCATCAGCACGATTGCCATTGCAGGCGTGGCGATCCTGGCGCTCGGAGAGTTCATCCCCTTTGGCTGGCGAGTCACGGACTTTACGGCAATTTTCCCAATGTGCATTGTCTGGTCCAGTCACTTGTTGTTGCCGATTGTCTTGAACCCGGCGCTGATGACGTTTACGTTTTAGATGGAGCATGTGGAGGAACATACATAATGATTAGATGATATTTGGGTAATGAGTACATGAATACAGACGCTTTATGACCTATCGGGTGCTCCGAAGTGGCTGGAGAATGAGATGGTGTGTCGTTGTCGCTGGCAATTGGTTGATGCTGGGCGCTGATCTTTCTTTTCAGCTGCGCCATGTTTGTCCTTATTTCAACGTCCTCGAGGGCTAGCCAAAGCGCCTCAGCTATACATAATTTCATGACACATGACGGTTTTATGCCCCCGCTACAACCTAGTTTCAGTGATGAGGGGAGTAGCTTTGGGACGATCTAATAGCAGCGTAATTTCTAGCTTTTGTTCACAATGCTAGACGACTACCATAAAGTCGATTATCGGAGATAAATAAACGGTGTAATCATCAATTGCAGAGATTAATGACGACAATCACAACTTTGCAGGCACTGGCCTGCTCTGTTGGATTTCCCGTAATTCTTTCACGTCACCTATCCTCCAGCTCACATCATCTATTCCACCCTTCGCTTTCGGCTTTGGTACCCTCCAACGCCATCGCGCAATACTTTGAACATTGGCCGACTCATTGAGCAAATTAGCCACCCAGCGCCCAAAGATCGGGAACATCTTGAAGCCCTGTCCCGAGTCGCCCGACAACAAAATAACCGAAGAAGCCGTTTCCGGCACGTAATCGATGATGAGGTCGGAGTCTGCGGTATCTGCAAACCAGCATAGTGACTTGTCTACCAGTGGCCTATCTGCTAGATATGGCAGAGTCTGGCGGAGCAGCTCCCGCATTTTTCTCTCATCCTCAGCTGGCACAAAGCCGCGAATCAACCCCGACGGGGCTTCCGATACCCCAGTGGATGGATTCGTGTTGATGTAGCCACCGCCCATGGGACACAGCTTTAAAAGATTGGTCTTCGGATCTGGCTCGAAAAGAAACCCAAAGTCGCGCGCGTACGTAACCGGAATACCGCGCAGCGCCGACGTCTCTTCGTCAGTAAGTCGAATATGTGCCACAGACCAAGACTTCGCCGAAACCTCGCTGCCTATCTCTGGGACAATCTTCGAGGCTGCAGCTCCCACGGCCACGATGACCAGCGACGCGGCGTGAAACGTGCCAGCCTTTGTTCTGACGCCGATACTCCTTCGGCTTGGCCCAACTCCTTCGTAGACAATCTCTTGGATGGCGCCGACTTTTTCACCCAGGAAAAACCGTATTCCCTTTGACTGCGCCTCCCGATATATTCCGCGCAAGGCATTCGCGGAATGTACATATCCATCATACCGGCAAAGATATCCTCTCCAGCCAGGCAGTTCACCTCCTTTGAATTGCCAGCAGAATTTTTTGATATCTTCTGGGCCGTTGATGGTATCGGTGTAGGCTCTTGTCTCCAGATGTCTCGCGGCAGCCGCATGGAATCGCCTCATAGTGTCCACTGCTTTCTGCGGCGAAGTCGCGGTTGCACAATTGAGATACCCGACTCGATGGAAATATGGCGCATAAAGAGGGGTTTGCCAGGCATGCGCTGCTTCCTATGTAGTTTGTCAGTGAAATGCCAGAATGCATCACAAGGACACTGCTATGGGAAGCATACAATTGCCAGGTTGGTATAGAAGTCGTCCTCATACTCAACTCGCATAATCTTATTGAGATCATTCGCAGCTGACCATCGTGACGGAATCTCCTGGTCTTTCTCGAATACTGTTATGTCGGAATAGCCTTGATTGGAGAGCTCAAGAGCAGTCGAGAGACCGAATGCTCCTGCACCAATAATGGCTATCGGATCACTTTTAGAAATTCCCATCGCTAAGGAGAATGATGTGGACAGTGGAGAGACAAATTTAATGAATGGCAATGATACAGAGACGTGGAGAGTCTGTACACTTCACAAATAGTTACGTTCTTCCAGGATACATACCATGAAACCCCACATTCACTGCGTTCCGAACGGGATCGGAATTCGGAACGTTTCAAGTCATGCTAAACGAGGGAAGGTAGCGGACGCTAGCAGTGCCACTGCTCCATCCGAGTGGTTGTAATGCTCCGCTTCTTGGCTCTCGTGCAGCAAAGGTAACCATCCCGTCGTTCAAACCTACCGATTTAGGTAAGTGTCAGCATACTTCGTGATTCGGTCCTCATCGGTAGCGAAAGAGAAGCGCTATCAGGTTCGTGTGCAATGGAACACTTCCTACCGACCCAGGACAGTATGGAACACCACACGAGCTTAGCATGGTGAGCAGGTTTCCCGATAATTATTCTGAAGCAATTATAGTACAGGAGGGAGAGGGCTGACATCTCTACTATGTTTACCACTACCTTTGAACAACTTGCCGTTAAATTCCTCCACTCAACCCTCTTTTGCAATTCCAGCAAGTTGAAACACGACACATTGCGTCGTATCTGATAGCGAAATGCACCTAACTTTGTGCAATACCACATTCGGCATGACTTCATATGTACAATTGGCCCGACCGAAGCCGCCTAACCCCGCACCATCCTCTTTCCAGCGTGCAGCTGTTCGTCACTTCATCATCTCGTAATCCAATCGATACCGTACCTCATTCATTGCTTATCACGTTGCCATATGGTGCAGTATGCTTCTCGCACTAGAAATGAGGCGTACTCTCGGATTGGATAAGACCCGGGGAAGACCGAGCTACGGTATGAGCAAGCGAAGGTCACGAGCAACGTGGGGTAACAATGCTCGAGATCATTGAGCGGGGTCGGGAGCTAAAAGATAGTGTTTAATGGAGATAAGGGGATTAGACTGGTTTGGCTGAATATTATGACGGCATGTCATTGTCTTTGTGCCATGAGCTTCGAACCTCTACAGGAAGCATTCTCTCTTTGCTCAACTTGAATCACACAGACATCCTGACGACTTCATTTTCAGTACATTTTAGAAAGTCATGATTCAGCCGCGATTCGGCGGCTTATCATCACGATGTGCGACCACAACGCAGAAGGGATTTGGTGGCAGCATAAGCACATTTGAGGTCAAGACCAGCTCAACAACGGCCGTGCCACGGGATAAGAACCACAGTATTATGAGTCATGTGGCCGTTACAGAAGGAAAGCGAAGACTTGCAGAGCATCCGTTATCCGTCATGCCAGCACATATGCTTTTACGATCACTCTTCATCGCCACAGTCTCCTCAAACAAGTTCCTCCTCCTACCATCTCTACAACTTCTTTCCTTCTTCGCAAAGCCCAACCTGAAGCTTTATCTTTAACGTCGATCGAAACCCTGTTCTGAAGGCCATCTTGAAGCGGGCCTTGTACAATCAATTCTGTGCCGGGGAGACGGAGAAAGAGACGAGAGCATGCGTGCAGCAATTGAAGGACCTGGGGTTCAAAGGAGTGATCTTGACTTTTGCAAGAGAGGCAGTCTTTGATACGAAGTCCAACTCTGCAAACCACCATAGTAATGCTTCGGAGAAACGTGATGGAGTACAAACGGCAGTAACACAAGATACCGACATTGAATCATGGCGAGTGGGTACGCTCAACACCATGAATTTGATCTCGGAGGGCGACATACTGGCCATTAAGTAAGCCTACATCCTTTGCAAGGTTCCATAATTAATAATGTCTACCACAGTTGCTAATAAGACATTCAGAACCACTGGAGGTGGCCCTACAGTCGTCGAGGCTTTCGCCAAAGGTGAACTTGCACCACAACAAATGATGGACGCACTCAACGACATTGCGATGAAGTGCAAAGAACGTGGTATCCAAATTATCATCGATGCCGAGTCTCAACGCTGGCAAGACGGCATCGCACGTACTGCACTGGAACTCATGCGAAAGTTCAACACAGACGGAAAAGCTGTCGTCTACAACACCTACCAAGCGTACCTGAAAGCTACACCTGCCAGCGTTGCCGAACACATGGCAGAAGCGCAGAAAGGTGGATTTACACTTGGCTTGAAGCTTGTTCGCGGTGCATACATCCTCTCCGATGACCGTTCCTTGATACACGACACGAAGCAAGAAACCGATGATGCATACAATGGCATTGCTCAAGGTGCGATACGGCCAGCACTATGGGCGACTTTGGCGCCGAAGGACCAACCGCGAAACCGTTTCCATCGCTTAATCTGTTCCTCGCCAAGTCACAACCGCGACAGCGTACTTTCAGCACACAGACTGCGCCAGCAGAGGATCGAAGCAGGTCTTCCCACAGTTCCGGTCGCTTTCGGTCAATTGCATGGTATGAGCGATGAAGTCAGCTTTTCGCTGTTGGCGGAGAGAGACGAGAATCAGAATCCTCCTGAAGTGTTAAAATGCTCAACTTGGGGCACAATGGGCGAGTGTATTGGATACTTGCTGAGGAGGGCAGTGGAGAATCGCGATGCGGTACTCAGGACTAAGGACGAGTTTGCAGCTTTGAGGAAGGAAACTTGGAGGAGGATGAAGTCGCCATTCTCTGCATGATGAAACAGTGTCGCGTACTCGACCAATCTCCAATATTGAGGCTTTGCTATATGCACCGAACAACATTTTTATCCTACATCTCCGGCTTCTTTCAGATTGTGCCGTTTCACGTTATGCTGATGTAGCGCCCCACAGCTGTTCGGCTAGAATCGGTATTAACTCTTCATGGATGTGCCTTAATGCAGTAAAGAGGGGCATCAGCGAAGTCGCTGTGAACGAACCAATCACAAGTCAATCGTACCGGTAGTACTACCGACTTGCCCTTTCGGCGTGGAGGTTAGCTCAGGATCTCTCGGAATAGTCGAAAGCTCGGTGTTACCCATACACCCAGACATTTGCCCAAGAGTGAACGCTGCTTGATTGTGTATGCTGCGCTTATCACAAGTCCAGCACGAACCATGGCTGGCAGAACACTTTGTATCCTTGGCTGCGGTATGTTATACTCCTTGCTTAAAGCACTTGAGCGACTGATGTTTTACAGGAAACCTTGGGACACCAATTCTAAAAAGTTTACTGGAATCCCCAGAAGACTCGAAAGCACACTTCTCCAGATACATTGCCTGTGTTCACAGCGAATCGTCGGAGCAAAAGCTATTATCCCTATTCTCCAAGCATAAAGAGTCTGGAAAAGTACTCATCTCACGGGGCAACAATGTCAAAGCCATTCAAGACTCCAATATCGTCATCCTCGGCGTCGACCCTTCCGCCATCGAAGCCACGCTGAAGCAAGACGGCATCGTTGCAGCACTCAAAGGGAAACTCATGATCAGCGTCGCAGCCGGCTGGTCACGAGAAAATCTCGAAGCACTCGTTTCCGCTAATTCGTCAAATGACAAAGACCGGACATGGGTCCTTCGTACGCTCCCCAACGTCTGCGCACAAGTATCTCAATCTCTCACAGCGATCGAAGATCCGGCTCCAGACTTTCCCGCAGAACATATGGAGATCGCCGACGCCATATTCTCTCAAGTCGGGAAAGCAGTACATATCGCTCCTCGCCTGATGAATGCCACAACCGCTGTTGGCGGTTCAACGCCCGCGTTCTGGGCTGTAATTTGCGATGCGCTGATTGATGCAGCAGTTGCAGTCGGGCTGCCGAGAGCAATGGCGCAGGCACAAATTTACCAAAGTATGAAGGGCAGCGCGGAGATGTTGCAGAGTGGTGTGCATCCAGGGTTGTTGAAGGATCAAGGTACGAGTTCAGAGGGATGCACGATCGGCGGTTTGATGGTGTTGGAAGAAGCGGGTGTTAGAGGTCATTTGGGACGGGCTTTGAGAGAGGCAGTGACGATTGCGAGGTTGATGGAGAGCGGGAAGGAAGACTTACACGTTAATGATACGCGGCAGTAGTAAGAGAGTACTTCATAGATGCTAATCACAATTTCATTCGGGTTGAGTCTTGCGTAGTCTTTCAATCGATTATGAATGAAGAGAAAGTAATTAGGAACTTCTCCGGTCCTAGTATGCAACTGTTCCAGCCACACTGTATGACTAAACTCGGCTTAAGCTGATAGCAAGTGTATCATTCCCTTTCACTGATAATAGATACTGTGCAGAAAAGCATTTGCGCCCCTGTTATTCATAAATCCATTCAGCTGCTCGAGATGCTTCGCTTTTTTCTAAGATGCCAATGTTTCTTCGAGAATTCCGCGATAGCATTCGAGCCCATGATTCAACTCTCTCATTCCAGTTTAGTGGACAGGAATCCGCCAACTTCGTCACAAGAACGAAAAGGAAGTCACAAGGTCGTGAAAATATTCAGGACAGCTCAATGCATAAGAAGAATATGTGGAGACCCTGTCTCGTCTGGCGCAAGCACCGCAGAGAAGAGTACCATGTTGTTTCACACATACTTTGGAATCAGTCTGACTAGCATCATAACTAGCATGGCTCAGGGTAGCGAAGATATCCAGGATATACCAACGCAAAGCTTCTCAGAATGTTCTCAGCGCATATGATGTAAATTCACCAGTATGTGTAGCTACGTCTACTAGTCACTCTGGACTTTAAGTGCAAACCGCGAGACATCAAGAGTATTCGATCTCTCCAAAAGATTGCTACGGGCCATGCCTTCATCTCTGAGGCGATGGCACTGCGGGGACCTTCAAGCGTTCTCAACACAACGACTCTGCCGACATACCATAACAGTCAGATGTGACTTGATAAGTCATAATAGCTTTACCCTACCATACATCCCGAACTGCGCTCAGGCGCTGTTGGCCGTTATGATTCACAGAAGATATACAGGATGGACGATCTGCTGTCAACAATAAGAGCCTGGACTTGGCCTTGAACTTTGCCATCCTTTCTCCAGAGAGAATGTATGCAATGGACTCATCATACACACACTCGATGGACATCTTCATTCGTAGAAGCTTTCGCTTTTCATCTCTTACTCGACGCGTCTATGCCGATTGTGCAGCACTGATAGGTCCCTGAAGGCACTCAGCATGTACAATCCGCCATCGAAAAGGAACGACAGAGATATTCGCTCAACGACTATTGGCGGTATTCCAATAGTACGAGTATGCGGCCGTGTGTACTATCATGGCTTGTTTCACCGAAGTCGGTATAGTCACCGCTGTTCGAACGCTATCGCCAGGAGAAGGTAGGTCCTGCGTATCACGAGGGCGATCAGCCTAGCTAATAGTTCGTAGTGGTCAGCTGCAGAGTCACATCGTTGATGGACCCCGTTCTTCATAGAACTCTTGCCGTTTTGTGAGATCATACAGGCACTGCAAGATTCAGGGCCGCAAACACCTCCAGCCCACCAAACTGTACGTACTTGTCTTCCATAAGATCTCACATGTAATGTCAGTGTTGCAAGTGTCCTTACCTAGGCAGGTCGACACCAGGTGAGAGTGTCCGCAGCTTCGATTTGCGTCACTGATAGACACTCTCAAGCATTTGAGTGCCGCAAAGGCCTTTAGGCTCTACAGTCGATCCGTGGAAGCTTCCAGTGCCCACGTGATACCGGGGCGCCTGCAGTCCGTGCCCACGTTCTCGCTGCCCACACCCTCCAAACACAACAACGCGACATCAACGCGCACACCCGACTCATAATAACCCATCCCGCCTTCAATTTTATGGCAGGAAAGCAGGCATTGCCTGGTTACCACTGTGGTATGTGCGACCAGCAGTTCACCTCCAAAGGTGACCTCACTGCCCACACGCGAGGCCATGCAGACAACAAACCCGCCCAAATCAATTGCTCCATGTGCGGTTGGCCCTTCGAGGACTCTCTGTCACTTGAAGACCACAAGATCAAGAGTGGTCATGACAAGCCTCGTTTCACATGCGAAAACTGTGGCCAGGGCTTCGTGACGCCTCGATCGCTTGAGGCCCACAAGAAACCACCGTACGGATGCTCACCAGTATTGACAGGTGTGGCCAGCAAGCCGGCTGCAAAGGCGCCAGCACCTACTTCCGTCACTTGTGATAGGTGTGGGAAGACATTCAAGAACCGTCAAGAGCACGACAGCCATCGCAGCTTCTCAAACGATGGACCGTGTGCCGACCACAACCATAAGTCACCGCCCAAGAACCGTGTGGTCTACAAGGACCCGGATGCGCCCAATAATAATCCAGTGGGTGAGATTCTGGGCTATGCGTCGTCTGATGGGGAAGGTGCGGTTGCTGGCAACACTGCGACAGCTCCCTCTGACCTGAGTGCGGACGACATTTGGTGCGCACAGTGCCGAACTCGCTTCAAATCATATGCTCAACATGTCAATCACACTCTGTGGTGTGTCACAAAGCATGGTCCGACTGAGGAGGCGGCTCCAAGCCAGGTCTCTGCGCGATCAACCTCTGAAGCCATCCAGCCTCCAGTATCAACTGCGCCACAACCAGCAAGCCAGACGAAAAACAATCGCCCCACATCGCAGCAAGCTGTTTCAAGTGTCACTTTTCCTTGCAGCGTCACTGGTTGTGCGAGGACCTGCCTGTCTGAAGCCGGCCTCAAGCAGCACAAAATCGATGCACACGGTATCGGAGGCAGAGGCTTGGACCTGGGTGGGAAGGACTCCTGGATGCTCAATCAGTGTTCGCGTGAACAGATGAGACAAGATGGTCTTCTCCACACAACTCCAGCAGGTCCTGCCCGAAGTGGTCGTGGGGGTGCTCGAGGAGGAGGTGGTCGTGGCCAAGGTGGACGACCTCCGCTACCCCCGGCTCCTAGAGCAGGCCAGCACTTCACTCCTGCTCCTATCCCTGCGTTCGGTACGCCTCCTAGTCAGAAGATGCCTCCTACTCGGCGACCACGTACCCAGTTGCCCGTACAGCCGCCTATGCAGGCGCCGCGCCAGGGACCACCTCCCACCCATCAGCATATGCCTCCACCTCAGCGAACCCATGCCCAGTTGTCCGTACAGCCGCCTATGCAAGTGCTGCGCCAGGGAGAATCTTCCGTCCGTCACGTTGGAGGTGTCTTCGAAATGGAACAAGCAAAGCATATCCAGGGCAAGATTCTGCGCTTGCTGATTCAGTCCGATATCTTCATTCGAAATGATGGCAAGATGGGCGTCTGCGGCATCGAATGGACTCGCATAGGCGTCGAGAAGCAGCCCGACGTGCCTGGCATGTTCGAAGGCATGTGCCACCTGCCCAAGATCCTCCAGGGCGAGTACCTCCCGCCCCCGAATACCTTCAAGTCCGATTATCAGCTCCAGTATCCAGCGTCCGAGTTCGAGGCGGCCCCGGCTCGTGATCGTAACAAGCCTGGCCTTGGAGTCGTCGCTATCGCATGCAGCAAAGTCGTACTCGCCGATGGCCTTCAGGAGGTCGTCAAAATCGCTGCGGTCGACGTTGTTACGTGCCGGATCCTCATGAACCACCTTATATGCAACAATGGCACTGCTCGAGTTAAGAACTGGCGCTCCGATGAGACTGGCTTGTACAGCTGGGACGATATGGAGCAGGCTCGCAAGCTGGGTTACAAGATTTTCAAGGGTTGGTGTGCTGCACGCTCTGCGCTTTCGAAATTCATCGACAAAGATACCATCATTCTTGGCCATGACTTGCGTTCAGATCTCGATTGCCTTCGGATGATCCACGGTCGCGCAGTCGATATTGCCAAAGTCGCCGAAAAGGCAGCCAAAGGCCCACTTTCGAAGCCACAGCTGAGTTTGGATAGCCTTTGTCGCGATTTCAATGGCGTTGTTCTGAAGAGCGATCCTGAATATGGCCGCGATATGCTCATGAACGCGTTCGCTGTACGTGAAATGGGACTTTGGCTTCTCAAGAACAAGGAGGAGTTTGAGAAGAAGATTCGCCAAAAGAGCTCGGACTATCAGCGCATCATGCCGCGCACTGCAGCAGCTTAGCTGGATTGGAGGATATGCATGTAATGATAATGAATAGCTTGGTAGCATGAATGAAACGCGTTGGTACGCTAAAGCTATCCAAGCTTTTTGATCGTGACTTGGCCACTTACCTAACCAACATACGCTGAAGCTATAGAGGCTCTACAATCGTGTCTTAGACTCTACAATCGTGTCTTAGACTCTACAATCGTGTCTTGGGGACTGGCCTATATCGAGCATTATACATGAGTCGATTCCGCCAGCTTGAGCGTTTCTGATCGATATCAAGGCCACAGTAATGATCCGAGTTGAGTCGGTGCGCAGTCAGTGTTGATATGCTGAAGATATGCAGGCTTCCCAATCACTCCTCAGGGTATGAACTCACTCTAGCATTATAATCGCATACACACCACCACTTCTCGCCGATCCGTCCGGAAACAACTTATCAGAATACCCCACCCCTCCCTTTCCCACTCACCCCGTCAACCCACTGAAGCCCTCCAGTCCACTCCATCACTTCTTCCCCTCCTCTTCCTTCTCCACAACCTCCACCACAAACGCACCGCCCAACAATATCGCCGGCTCCTCAATCCTATGATGTTCATAACTCAACGTGCCCACCCCTCCCGCCTCGAGTATCAAACTCGGATTCTCCTCCAACCGCTTCCCCACCCACCTCGCCGCAAACGCACGCAGAATATGCCCATGCGCCACAATCAGCACATCGTTCGGCCCGCCCTTGCCATTCCCAAACGTATCCTTGTGAAACTTCTCCCTGAGTTCCGCAATCAGCTTGTCCAAGCGCTCCGTCACGTCTTCAGGGCTCTCGCCGCCCTCGCACCCGTCGCGCCAGATATCCCAGTCTTCACTGAGGCCGCGCGACTTGCGTGACTCCCGGATTTGCGAGGATGTCAGGCCCTCGTAGTCGCCGTAGTCCCACTCGCGCACGGCCTCGGTCACTTGGATGTGGGCGTTTGTGCGGGGGTCGAGGGGCGGCGGGGCGTCGGGGGCCCAGGGGAAGCGGTCGCGGCAGCCAAGGGAGAGGAGTTGGAGGGTTTTTTGGGCGCGGGTGCGGGGGGAGACGTAGCTTGTATTACATGTTAGAGACAGTGTGGGGGATGGTGGAGGGCAGAGGTTACATGTGTGCGAGGTTGCTGGGGACGATGAGGCGGTCGGAGCCGACGAGGGCTTTGCCTGTGGCGCGGATGCGCGATTCGCCGTTGGCGGTTAGGGGGATGTCGGATGTGCCTGTGTGTCGGCCGTTGAGGGACCACTCGGTTTCGCCATGGCGGACGATGAAGACGCGGGGATCGGGCATTGCGTGAAGTGAAGTGTGGTCAAGTTGTGAGGGAAGTGAATTGGGAGAGGTGAAAGCAATTGATCAAACAGATGCTTCAGAAACTAGAACAAAGGAAGAAGTGCGAAGATGCGTAAGAAAATTGCGACGGCATGAAGCGGTAACTCGTAGTTTAGCTATGTATGACGTCCTTACGCGCATGTAAATAAATATTTAGTCTGGTGGGGTAGCTCCGAAGGGCTCCTGGTTGCTGCCCCACTGCGCATGCGGCTCAAACTCCGCAGGTATAGTCAGCATTCGTCATTGAATGTAATGGTTGACAAAGAATAGATTCCAAGACTGTGATGACTGAGATGGTAATAGAAGAGGAACGGTCCAAGAGATGATGGGTACCAGAGCGGGGCGTAGAAAAAGAGATGTGACCACACTGGCTGCGGACTGAAACTAGGTCCGCATATCATGCTTGTTCTTGTTTCGAGTTGCATACTTCATTCTCTCATGATGACTGATTGCGCTCTTAACGTTCATGCAGATCACTCTCATGAGCCATCATCTGCAACACACTGGTAGTACCATTCTGTATCGCATTAGCGTTGTCCCAATTGCCGCACGACCCCATGTTGACATACCATTCTGCATCACACACTTCGCTCCCTTCACACAGACCGTACACCCAGACCAAGGCTTGTCATAGTCCCAGCCACCACATTTGTAGAACAGCGGCACCGGACAACTGGTACTGCTTGGCCCGGTCTCCTCACCAGTGGTAGTCTTGGTAGGTTGTTCAGGAACCTTTGATGAGGGCTTGATCGGTGTAGGCTGCGAGGAGCAATGTTAGTAATTACGCATAGAAAATTGTGAGTGCCAACGATTTACCTTTGTAGTTGTCGTCTTTGGTGGATCGGGTTTCTTTGATGAAGTGGGTTTGGCCGTGGGCTGTGGAGTCGAGCCGTCGTCACAGCGGCCACCGATGCATGTTATGATATATGTTTGACGAGGCACGAGGGCGTGTTCTTTCGCTGGTGCCTGGCAGGGTCAATACCAATTTGCTATTATTGAGAGTTCGATACATACTGCGAGAGAGACAGCAAGGAGCGATGAGAGCAAGGCGGAGAGCGTGAAGAATTGCATAATGGCTTGCAGACACAATCAAGAGATGTTGCGAGAGATCAAATCGTGAACTGGTGTGATGAGGTGATTGTGAGGACAACATTCGACTTCTTATAGATCTTCTGTCTTACTACGCTATTCCTACACAGGCACGATGATTGGGTAGTTGATGAAGACGTAGACGGGACGACGTTTGAACCTCGGTGGTGTCGTGATAGATTAGCAGCTGGCTATTGCCAAGGCCAGATACGAAGTCGCCGAATCAATGGCTGCGTGGACATAGATTGTATTGCGAGTGCTGTTCCTTCCGTGGTCCAGGTCGTGGTGAGCTTCGGCTTCGTTACCGGCAAACGGACCACCCAGAATATACAGCAGGCGTGGGGAGCATGCTTCAAAGCCAGGAAATTGGAGCCATTACCACAAGAAACGTTTGAGCCGCAACCGAGAAGACCTATAGAATGCCCTTTCTTATGCTCTGCTACTCGCACGCGACGTGATATTGGCGCAGTAGAACCCATTCCTACCGGGGTACATCTCAGTAGCTCGTAGCTCGCGATGTCGCGACTGCATGGCAGGACCGATCCGCCTGCTTACCGGCCTATCTCACACGCGGTATTGATGCTATTCTTGTGTGCTCTTGCATGGTCGATGAGCATGTCTTTATCCGCAGATTGTTCTCGGCAGTATGGATGCGTAACCCTTGTTCGTGTCACCGAACGAGTGTTCGATGCCTCTCAGACTATTGCAGTAGGCCGCAGGAATAGTGTATTGATCGATATAACAATGCGTCGTAGTTGCAGGATATTGACCTGTTGGTGATATAGCCTCGCCAAGCGAATATACCATCGACCACCGTCCGGGTGCGGGTAAACGGATAGAAGCAAAAGGAACGGCATGCTGGATGCATCCAGAGCTTCGGGTGGTAGTTTTAGAATCGGTTTAGGTGCAAGCGACGTATTCAGAAGGCCCGCGCTGCGTACAAAGCGACGCTGGATCAGGTCAGAAGTGGGTCACTCAGCTCATAGACAGACCCGCAGTCATTCTTCATGCGATATTGCCGCCCAACAAGTCGCCCACACCAATCCATTTCCTGACCAGGTGGGCACCTTGCGGCTTCAGCTTCCTGTAGTACGCTTCCTCTTTGTCAAGGATCTCAAAATTCCTCTTCTTGTACCAGTCCAAGCCATCGTCGTTTGCCTCCCAAACATGCGCCGTGACACATCTGACGCTGTGTAGATCGACAGCTTTTCTCACGACGGCTTGCAGCAGGTGCATGGCGATGCCGTGCGACCGATAGGGTGCGAGGATTCCAATTGTGGAGATGTAGAGCTGCGAGGAAGGCAGCAGACGGCAGCGAATAGCGCCAACGAGACGCGGTGGTTCAGTTGCCACATGACTACCACTAGCCTGTGAAAGCGATGAGTGCCAGAGTGCGACCATTGTGATGCTCAGATTGGGCTCAGTCATGGTTTCTTTGTAGAAGCTCTCGGGGTATGCGACGGGTAGCGTCAGGGCATTTAGGCGCTTGTAGTCGGGGAGGTGCTCAACAGTGAGCGGTGCGATTTCGACATTCGACGGTAACGGACGAAGAGCGAATAGTTGTGTTATGGCGGGCTGTGGGCTAGGAAGCGTGACGGGTGTAGGGACTCGTGAAGTAGCAAGTGGCGTGACCGCATTGGACGAGCGGGGGCTCTTCTTGGATCTCGGCCGCGATGGAGCTTGCAAGAAGTCGTCGGGTATGTCATTCCAGTTGTCCATGGCTTTGGCTTTGGGTGCAGGTGTGCTTGAGGACAGGACGCGTGGGGGTGCTGAGGTCGACTTTGGAGGAGGGGGAGGCCTTTTGGCAGTCGGTGGCGCCAGTGTGGGCGACTTCAACGGAAGCTCATTCGGGTTGGCAGCTTCTGGCTTCTTCAGCCAGCTTGATATAGACGACTGCATATTCGCTCGTGAGGCGTAGTGTGTTGTGGTACGGGACGGCTTGATATTCTCTGCAAGTGCCTGGCCTTTCGATTCTTCCTGACGATCCTTCTCTCGTTCCTGTCACCAGCATATATAGCAACAGCGTGAGTGCATTCCACAGTGAAGCAACGTCGCGATAACTTTGTGGTGTCTTGAACACGCGCATGCCGATCGCTTCCCAAGCCGATTTAGCCGCTCATTTCATCGGCCAAGCCGTGAGCTCCGACTTCTTGCAGCAACAGCATCATCGCGCCGCATCCTGCCGTCACATCAGCACAACAATGGGCGCCGAAAACTCGAAACCCTCTTCCGACGTGAAGCAGCATGTCTTCTCTCCGTATGTGCACTTCCCCCCCGCCAATGGCACCTGTGCGCCGCAACAAGACGCCGTCACAGGAAGGAAGCTGATCAGTTTGCGCGCAGTGAACACCCCGTCAAATTCTCCAACGAACTCGTCGATTCGCTACAAAAGAACACTTTCGTACGTCATATACGGTCCGGAATAAATTGATGGAAGAATGGCGCTGATGCAACCCGCAGACCGACTCCACGCGATCACGACAACAAGAACTCCAGTACCAGGAGCGTCTGACTGCCGAGCTCGAAAAGCTGCGCGAACAAGAGGCCCAAAACTTCACCAAATACAGCGAAACCCTGTCTGGCGAGTCAGACGAGTCCAGCCAACCCTCCCTCGTCGAGAAGCTCTCCGATGCCACCTCCTCCAAAGCAACCCTCGCCGAGAAGCAACGCCAAAAGGAAATGAGCCGGAACAGCGTCACCGAGGAGGTCGAGCAGCTGAGGCAGAAGCTGGCCAACAGGAAAAAGCTGGAGCAGGTGGATGCCGAAGTCAGCAAGGCGAAGGAGGCAGTCGTTGCGTGCTTGAGGACGCACGACCGACGGCCACTGGACTGCTGGAAGGAGATTGAGACATTCAAGAAGGAGGTGGGCCGGTTAGAAAAGGACTTCGTCGAGAAGACCATTCGATGAGCGAGCATTTGCGCCTGGTTTGGTTCGTCATTTGTATAAATATGGGGGGTGGAGTGTAGTCCCTAGGTCCCTTCCTCTTTCCGACATACCGTGGAGGTCGCTTCCTTCTTTGTCAAATCATCTTTTCAGCCTTGAACTACGTCTTCATGACCTTTTGCCTCTGTCCCACTTACATCATCGCCCAAACAGCTGCCCCATGCCGGCCTCTTTACTCCCGTTTGGCCAACACTATGTCTCATTCGTTTGCACTCACCTTCACTTCAAATTTCGTGTGCCGCAAATCGCTCCTTGTGGTCTCCGATATCATGGCGCGCAAGGAACGTTGCGTTACGCTCCCTCCAGCTCGGCGGCTTTCACCTTCACCACGACTAGCTGAGCAAACGGTGCACGCTGGGCCTTGGCGCGTCTTCCAACTTGCTACATCAAGCTCCCGCCTCCCACCTTTGTTCCCTCACCAGTATACCGCAACTTCTGGCACACCCGCTGCCTTTCCAGCTTGCCCGTCCTCGCCCTTTGTTCTTTTGTTAGGGCGTGAGACATATCAAACCGACTGAGACCGCTTGATTGCGCGCACCAGGTGAGTGAGCAAAGAATACTTAACAGTCGCTCTCGCAACTCCAATTGCAATCTGGATCTGCTAACTCGCGATACCATCGCTCTAGACACAATGTCCTTCACAAGTCCCATCTCTATTGATGACGGAGAAGATGAGGTGGTGAACCTTTGGGACGATCAACTAGAGCTCATCGACTACGGTAATCCCAAGATACATTTTGCGCAACTTCAACTTCCCAGCCTGACCGTTTCTAGATTCTGATAGCTCAGAGCCCGAAATCACCGCAGTTTACACGAGAGAGACCCCACCAACCACTGCTGCATCAAGCTATCGCAAGAAGACCCGTCCTTCGTTACGGCTCCACAATGGACCCATAGTGTTGCCTGATAGCGAGATTCCGAAGTACGGACTTGGGGACGGGACTGTCATCGTACAAGGTGATACTGTGGAGCTTACCAACGACAAGCAGCTCATGCCGGACACAAATCAGAGCGGCGATTTTTTCCGGGTCAAGAATATCATCGTCAACCACCAGACCGATGATGTACGCTTGCGAGGTTACCGTCTGCGCCGCACAAAGTACCTGTCCCAATTGTTCGATTGTAAGTATAATCTTACACCTAGAAGATGCAAGCAAGTTTTAACAAGATCCTAGGGAAGCTCAACGAGCTAGCCATGGTGCTTTGTGTTAACGAAACCGACACGCGCAGTGCTTTCATTGCTGGCATGGAAGAGGTCTCTGTGGACGAGATTTTTCGCATTCGAGACTGTGTCTTGACAAACAAGCCATACCCATTGTTGAGTTTCAGAGATTCAGGTTGCTGGAAATTTGACTTTCGAAAGGGCCTCTCTATAGATGAGATGAAAGAGCAAGTGTTTCATGAAGGACGCCTTGTGTGTCGAGTGGTCAATATCTTGATCGTCAGGAACAACAAGAAGGGAAAGGCACAGAGTGGTATTGTACGTCATTTATACGCTAGAGAGGCTGATGCAGTGAGCACTGGCGCGGCTCGAGGCCCTGGCGCTTCCCGGACGGATTCAATCCAAGTCGACGATGATGAGGAATCAGATGAGTCTGTTGTCGTCGATCCTGATAGCGCAGGCCGGAGAAAGCGACGAGGCCATTTCAGCTCCGGATCAAGGAAGCGACACTCACCGATGCCTATCAAAGCAAGGCAACTCACATTTGGAGACGTCTTCTGCGGGGCAGGAGGGTCATCTCAAGGAGCAAAACAAGCAGGCTTATCTATCAAGTGGGGGTTGGACTTCGACGATGATGCAATCGAAGCTTATGAGCTGAATCATACTGGCGCCTTGCCTTTCAACTGCAGTGCTCATGACTTCCCACCAGAAGGGTATACCAGCGAGCAGCTCAGGGTAGATGTAGTTCATCTCTCTCCTCCGTGCTGTTTCTTCAGCCCGGCCCAGTAAGTCCAGTTGAGATCATCCTGGCAATTCCACAGCTAATCCCTGATAGTACCGTCAATGGACCCAACGACCAAGCGAATCTCGAAGCTATATACACCGTGGGACCCATACTCAACAAATTGAAACCCAGGGTCGCAACGTTAGAGCAGACTTCTGGCTTGTCCACCCACGATCAGCATAGGGCGAACTTTCTGATGCTCTTTCACGACATTGGGAAAGCCGGGTACGATTTGCGCTGGAAGAATTCAGATTTCTCGGAATATGGCTTAGTTCAGCCGAGGAAGCGGCTTCTCATTATTGCAGCAAGGTAAGTCTGATAACCAAAGTAGCGGGCCGTCGACTAATCTTTCCAACAGGCGGGGTACGCCTCTGCCGCCTTTCCCAAAAGCCACCCATGGCCCCCCTGGCAGTGGTTTGGAGCCCTGGCACTTCATTAAAGCTGCCCTCCGTCCCATTGAACGTCTCGCCAACCGCCCTACAAACGACTTCTACCACCAACCTAAGCCCACTAGAACGCGAAGAAAGTCTTATGATCCTCAGTCGTTCCTTAAAGGATGCATCACAACTAATGGTGGAGAAGGAAAATACCACTACAACGGCACCCGCAAGTATACACCTCGCGAGCTGAGTTTATTTCAGAGCTTTCCCATTGACTACAAATTCACTGGTGGGCAAGGCAATGCTATTAAGCAGATCGGCAATGCCTTTCCACCGGTCATGGCGGAGAAACTATATCGCACTATTGCAAAAACGCTCGAAGCATTTGATCAGAACCATATCGATGCTGAGGATGATCTTTCGGACCTAGATGAACTCTTAGACAGCAAGGGTGTAAGCCTCGAAAATGCGCCATCGATTCCACGCCCGTCCTTCGAGCGTCGAGTAAGGTCGACGACACCTCAGTCGCGCTACCTTGTACGCGATACTCCTAGACCTGCTCGAGCTGCTACTTCAGCGCCGACCCGGTTTGCTCAAGCAAGGCCGGCTCGGCCTCAACAGTCGCGCAGAATGTTAAGCGGTTCATTCGACAATATGAGCTTACTCGATGGTCTCCTCAACAGCACCCAAGACAGCGACAGCGATGTGGTTGAGACCACCGAACCTCTAACTCCTCCTCGTCGTCGTCGTCGACGCCGACCTGCTCCTCTCATCACGAATGTCTCCCAGGACGTGATTGAGGTAAGCAGTGGGTCCGAGGATGACTATGACAGTGACAGCAGCGATACTGTGTACTAAGACACATCGCAACACTGTTGATTGCCGCCTTCTTTGATGGCATGGCCAACATGCGAATTTTGCCAAGTTAAAACGATGCAAGAAGTGGTGTTGAATCACTGGAGCACCGTAAGATTCATTGCCGCCACATGAACTGTCTGGCTCTTTCGCCACGTCTTCTTGAGGAGCCTGATTTCATTGCACGTCCGTTTCCGCCACGCAGAAGAGAAGCACAGCACAGCACAACCGCTTGTGCATTTCCCGTCCCTTCCCCGGATTGACTTTTATGCGTTACACATAAATGCGTACCTTGCTTAGTGCATACTCTGCAGCTTTACAGAAGTCTGCGCGACCTCCGCCCTGCATCCGCATGAAGACTCCATGTCTGACAGCAACTTATGCACGGAATCTAGCGCACTATGCGCCCTGCCTCTCTAGTACCTGCAAGGAATTAAATGATGCTTTCACTTCGTCCTACTACTCTAATCGTGACACGCCTACCACTCTCCTATGTCGCCCCACTCTGTTCTGCGCCTCTCTCCCTCGCACCTTACTAAAGCACAGGATATCTCTGCATCTCACATGAACCTTACTCAAATGTCTGAATCCATCCATGGACTCGGCCACCTCACTAGAGCACATCGCAGCTCGGAGCCGACGCAGATGAAGAAGCCTGAGGAGCTTCACGAATTTCTCGTCGGAAAGAATTTACCGTTACGAAATTGCCCGCGGCTGCTAACTAACTCCTCCTCGCAGGGTGCATGTTTGCTCGCCTCTTGGTGCTGGTACCGGGACGCTGTGCTGGGTTTTCAGTGCACAGCATGGTGTGTGTGTGTACAAGACTGTTGATACTACCGCTGAAATTTACGACTTGCCTTCCTCATGCTCGACACATTGTGCGCAAGGCAAGCGGGCTGTCTTGATATTAAAGTGACATGGAGATGTCTGCACCTTCCTCACGTGTTGGGTAGTCTTACGCGCGCGATGACTGGACATACACGGTGGCAAGAAAGGATGTGTGTACAGTTTTCAAGGGGAGGGAGGGTGTGTGGACTTACTGATCGACGTGCGTACGTGTCTGAATCGCGACCGCGGACAGTGACGGTGTACTTCTCTGCCATGGATTAGCTTCAACATCTACGACCAATGCAACACGACACCACTTCTAAACACGTCATCACCGCAACGCAAAGAAGGCGAAATTGTGCATCGTCAACTCGCTTCCTTGCTACCTATCTCATCTCCATCCACTAACTACTCAGGAGCGAAGCCAAAGCCTCTCCCTCCTCATAGCTCCTTCCACTCTCGAGTAAACGTACATATTTAACCATTCCGTTGAAAAAGCAGTCAGCAGATTCCCGCCGTAAATACCCGGGCGGTTCTGTGATCAAGGGTTATCCGTTTCGACTCCTCCTGTTTCCATTTGTTATGCATCTCCAAAAGCTTGTCAAAAACTTTAATAAAGACTCTGTCGAGCCATCGACCAACAATATACGCCAACAGGTTTAAAAACAAACGGGATAGAGAACGCCACCGAGGAACTTGGTATAACGAGCTTAAGTAGCATAGGTCTTCCTTCAGACTTTTGGATAGTCTTCCAGGTGTGAGAATACACGGACGGTTTGTGGGCGGATGTTGAGAAGGAAATATACAAGGATGTGTAAGATGTGTAGGTGTGGGTGGTGACGGTATGCGAAGGCGTCTTTGTGCCTTTGGCATTCTTCTTCTGTGCCCTCTTTGGGGTCATTCAGTGTTGATAAAGTGTGCGTCGAAGCTAGAGGATACCCTCCCACATGCCGGGGCCTTGTGAGCGGAAAGCTTGCGCAGCCTCGGTGCCGCAGCACGTTCGCTTCTTGCCAAAGTCCTTCTGGATCGGCAGACGAGAAAAGTCGGGCACCATGTGCTTGGGAGATTGAAGTCCCTTGGGCTCACTGCGCGCAGACCGACTGTCCGATGGCAAAAGAAAGGACTGTGCGACTGAGCGATCAGGCAGGATAGTCTGATTGCTTCGCAGTGTGAAAGCAGACCGTGTGCTGTGAAGGAGGTGGCGGACGTTCTGCTGAAGGTCAACAGACGACCTGCCTCGCTTCCGGCTCGGGGTAGCCATCGCCGTGGGGCTCTCGACCATGGGTTTCGCATCAATGTCATCAATGTGGAAGCTCTCCAGATCGGGCGAGGACATGGGCTCGCTTGGTGCATACTCGTATTGCTCCTTGCACTTTGACAACGCCGGGTACGGTAGTCTCGCGTTGCGGCAGGTCGCCAACCGGGCAAGCTTTGCCTGGCTTTGGTTTGGCGCCCAGCCAGCAGACGAGACTGACGAGATTGACGAAGCACGCGAAGAGCGAGAGTTGTCCGAGATCATAGACTCTGGAGAGGAGGACAGTGATGAGTTTGAAGGAGCCAGGGAGGGGCGGCGGCTGGGGAAGTGATATGCTTCCAGACCATTTCTAATGCTTGGGTTGAACTGGTCAACACAAGTGCGTGCCAATGAAGAGCACTGTGCTTGTTGCATTGCTGAGCACATCGATGGACGGCGCGATCCGTAAGCCATGGCACTCGCTGCAGGAGTGTTGCTGGTGTAGGACTGTGGCGTCAACGACGGCGTGGGCAAGTGGCCCATGCGAGGAAGAGATGGCGTGGGCGGAAGCAGATCAGGCTTCGGTTCCAGGAAGCGAGGCACCTGGTACCGGGAAGGAGTTGGGGTGCTCTCCTGAGATCCATATCCGTCGACAGATGGGTAACGTAGGGGAGAGGTGCTCAGCTGAGGCCTCAGAGCAGGTCGGACAGGAGTGATTGGCGCCTTTGAAGGCACCTCAACGATGTCCAACTCGGGCGTCAGCATGGGGATAACGTCTTTCCAAGTGTTGGTGAGGGAAGCCCCGGGTGATGTTGGAGGCCTGCTAGGAGTATGACGGTTAACAACTTCCTGCCACTTCTCCCAGATAGGATCGGTGATGTGGAGCTTCCAGTTAACAGCCTCGAGGAAGGCCATCTCATTGGTGTTGATCTCACAGACCTTGAGGCCAGAGATTTTGCTCCATGCGCGAGCCGAGTAGTTGCGGTCTTGCAAGTACTTTGAGGCGAGGATGAGCGCCGCAAGGAACATGCGACGTCCACACTGCAGTGCGCGCAGAGAAGCATCCTCTGGCTGTGACATGGTGAAGTCATGCTTGGGGAGATGAGACTTGATGAGGATCAAGTAGTACAGAGCAACCTGTAGGGTAGAGTAACTGGTCCGAGATCGCTTGAGCGTCTCC